ATTGTCTTCATACTTCAAAAGCTTGAAAGAAATGTTTTAATAGAACTCATTTTGTATTCAAAGGCTAATACAAATTCGATGCTTTCAAAGCTGGGGGGGGGAATTGCATGTTTTAAATGGAACACATGATTTGCAATGTGACATTAAAGCTCTTGTTTTTGATACTTTAGTAGAACATAACTACTAAAGTATCAAAGTTTTGTTTATTTGGGAGCATGAAAGAAACTGATTTCTGTTTGGTTTAATTTATTCAATTCTGGTATTTAAAGCTTACTGTAGGAATGTATCATATTTAGAAATTTTTGATACCGCTTCGCAGAATTTAAACAGCTTTCAACAAAAATAGTATATTATTGAAAATTGTTTACTTTAAAATTATAATTTATTTTAACATTCATTTAAAACATTTTTTTTTGTTGCTAGCATCTTAATGAAATTATACAATAATTTACCAATTCTTTTGTTATGTAATCAGAACTTTTCCTAACCCTTAAACAAGTTAATCAGTACCTGGGGTTTAGTTACACATACTTCCACAAATTATGTTTGAACACACACACACTTCTGAGCTCTCTAACTTACCCAAAGAAAATAAAGAACAAGGATAATCACAGGTACTATATTTATTGAAAGCAAAATATTGGCAACCTGGGGAGGATTAGTTCATTGAAACTGTATTTGAAAATGCAAAATTTGTGTTCGACTGGAGGGAATGAACATTCTAAAAACATTGTGCAATTTTTATCATGTTGTATTAGTCGATTCATCAATTCCTTATTCAAATCTAGTTTTGAAGCTGAAGTTTCCTTTTTTTTTTTCCTCCCCTAATAAAAGTTCACGAATTTCCTGAGGGGGGATGAATACTACCCCGTATACATTTAAAGTCATAAAAAAGGATTCCTGTCAGTATAGAGCAGTGTCAGTCTAGAGCAAACTTCTTTGGGAGTGAGCCAAAAAAAAAAAAAAAAATAGCAGGCCGATATAATTTATTCTAAAACTTTAAAAACAGTAAATGAATATTACAATACAAATGTTAATATGATGAATGAAACTGCTTTTTAAAAGTTCCCTAAATTCGCGTTCGAAATACGATGGAAGAATTGAAGCTAAATGCTCATCTATCAGTCTATTTCTAATATAATTCTTCGGCTAATCTTTGGAATATGATAACAGGTAGTTTGGCGACATTTTGCTAAGGCGATAAAAGTTACTAGCTAGGACTTTAGCAGTGTACATGGATAAAGTCAAGAGAGTGCGCAATGCCATTTTTGTGCAATTCTGGGATGTTTTTTTAAGTGAAAATAGGTCGAAGTGTACATGGTTACCGTGTATGTGCAATTCTTAAAAACACGGCAAGCAGTTTGCGATTCTGCACTTTCTCCCAATTTCACACCTAATCTTCGTCATGATTAAGCACTTTTGTTCCATAAAATTTCTAGCATAAGCGTAATTCTGCTAGCAGATTGTTGGAAAAAAATGTTGAGTTAAAAAAAAAAAAAATGCCTTTACTTCGTAAAAATAAAATGAAAAAAAAAAAAAAAAAACTAGCAGGTTGCTGTAGCAGGGTTGGTCGCCAGATTTTCGCCAAAAAATTGCCGAGTTACCATAATCCAAAGATTAACCAATTCTTCCTAAGGTTTATAATAGAAAACACTTGTTCACACATAGATAAGAGGAAACAAACACAACGCTAATTTTCAGGGGACATTAAATTTGGGAAACTTGTTTTCGATGATTTGTAAAACTCTAATTTTGGAACATTAAGAATTAACTGCTTGAGAGGACTGTCAGATTATAACTCAATTAAGTCAAGCTGCAAATTCTGCTTCTTTGTTTCACAATTTACACTCAAAGGCATGGTGAAAATATCTATTTCTGTTCCAATGGCACTGGAAACTTAAAATCTACTGAAGGGTACCCCTTGTATTATTGTGAAGTTGTTGTTTCATTTATTGTAACCTAAGTAGTTGAATGTTCTGTAAATATACTTTTATCTAGAATTGAGTGCTCCTTTTACTTTCAAAGTGAAAATATATCAAGCAAGTGTGCAATTCTCTGATGTTTTTTAAGTGAAACTAGGTCGACATGTACATGGATAAAGTTAAGGGAATGCACAATGCCTAGTTTGTGCAATTCTGCGATTTTTTTAAAAGTGAAAATAGGCCGATGCATACACAGATACCGAGTTTGTGCAATTCTTTAAAACATTATTTTGGCTTTGTGTAGTGCCGATTATCACCACTACATAAAAAGTCAAAGAATTGCACAAACTCGGTATCCATGTACCATCCATTTTTGCCAAGGGGTACCCGTAAATATACTTTTACCAAATCTACATTCAAACTCAAAATGCAGTTTTCTCAGGCCATCTGTATAACTCTTAAGCTTGTCTTCATTTATTGTGGATACTGTAATCAACCTCGAGAAATGAGACAAGTCGTTCTTAGCTAGCTGCCCAGCAAACAAACTAAATTTTAGCTTAAAACTTTGGAGATAGGGTTAGATTTTTTTCCTTGAAAATGATGATCTGGCAACACTACTCAAAGAAAATTCACAAGAAACAACCAAGGAACTAGAGGATAAGCTTGGAGTTGACTATTCAACAATCATTAGCATCTGCACATACCTGGCAAGATACAGAAAGCAGGCAAATAGATCCTACATGAACTTACAGAACACAATATTGACAGTCATCTGAATACTTGTGTGTCACTTCTTGCTTGCCATAAAAGAAAGTATTTTTGGTACACTTCTGTTATCGGGATCGGATTCAGAAATGTATGTATATATATGTGTGTATATATATAGTATATACTTATATACACACATACATTTCTGAATCCAATCTTGATAACTGAAGAGTACCATATTTTCTGTGAAAAATCATAATAGAAAAAAATGAGTATACTATAACAACCCTAAACATTGAAAATCATGCGTAAATCCAGGTCAGCAATCAACTTCCATTCATAAAATGAATACCCATACCAAAAAGGTTTTGCTGCATATTTAGTGAGATATGAAGGTGTGTTCTATTTGTTATACAGTGTTACAGTATGCAATTGCTCAGTTTGAGTTAAAAAAATGAAGCAGAAGTGACCTTTTACTGGCCAAAGAATGTCGCAGATCATATTGTTGCATCACAATGCTTGTTCACATGTTACTTGGTCAACAAAAGAAACAATCTTCAGCTTAGGTTCTAGAATTCTTCCACGTGCAGAATATTCACCTGATCTCGCTTCCTCATATTATCATCTATTTAGGTTCTCAAAGCACGTTTCAGCCAACACCTCGCAGCCATCAATAATATCAAAATTGTAGTCACATCATCACTTTTCAGTCAGTCCTTCTTTGAGCAAGGAATACAAAAACTATCTGATAATGAGTCTGAAAGAGATAACGAGTCAAGGAATATGCTTTAATAATTGAAAGTGCATTTCATTGTTTAAAATGTAATGCTTATTATCAAGAAAAAATGCTGAAAATTTTGCACGTACCTCATAATCCATCTTATTGACATTTTTGCACATAAATGATGAAAGTTATAGTTATAGATAAAAGACTTGAATGTGTGCTGAAATAAGACACATGAAGAAACACAAAGAAATATATTGGGTAAACATTAAAAAAATGCAAAATTGATTATAGAAACATAGGTTATGCAATTTTGGTCATCAGGTGCATAAAATAATATTTTTGATTAGAAACAAAAACATCACTAATACAAATAAAGCATGTTGATTAACTGCACAATGTACTAATTTTGATCAAGTATTCAGCCTACTTTTCTCAGCCTTAATTTTAATTTTTTTAATCTAAAAAATAAAAAAAAAAAACACTCAAACCAAACAAAATATACTTTCCTAAATATATTCTAAATTTTTCAAATTTCATATTTTTCACAATCATTATAAAAGCATTAAACACAAAAACTTTTCCTTCTCAATTTAATATACTGCCAGCCATACAAAACTTAAAATTATCCCTATCTATGATACAGCAGTTCATTTTTGGCCAAAAAATATATCAAAGTAGCTCCTAATCCTGATGCAAACAGCATGTATAAAAAAAATCTCATTTTTTACTCTTTCCATTTGAAAAGATAATAGAATAAATAAATAATAAAACTGTAAAATTGTACGACTTGATATCAGATGAATCTTAGTCCGCTAGGTTTCAGAAACAAATGAAACGATATAAGATCCCCCCTTTTTTTTGTGAAAAAAATTTCTTTTGCTTGAAAACAGTTTGCTGCTTTTCTGTTATTATTTGTGATTTCATTACTAGAATTACAAAGTGTTCACTTTTACACCTTTTAAATTATACACCATAAAAATACTATTTAAACTATACCTAAATTCCTGTTTTGGTAAAAGTTTACAATTGGGTGCCCCTTGTTTTTGGTGATTCTTTTTTGACGCCAGGAAGGCACAATTTCAAGATGGCCACTACACAAAACCAAAATAAAAATTCAAAGAAATGCACAAACTCTGTGTCCATGTACAAATCGATCTGTTTTCACTTAAAAAAACATCCCAGATTTGCACAAACTGGGCATTGCACACTGCCTTAAATTTGTCCATGTACACATCAATCTATTTGCATTTTGAAAAAATCGGGAAGCTAAAACAAAAATTAAAACTATCATGGTAACCACAAATGAGGTTTTATCACCAAAATTAAAAAAAAAAAATTATCGCTAATCGAAGGGGCTCCCAATTCTACGCTAGAGCCCCTGTGGTATACTCATTAAGAAAGTCAATTTTAGAGTTAAGGGAAAACACAGTTATTTCACCCAATGTTTTCTGCATTAATAGATTACCATGCACAGAATATTACCAATCATCAAGCATCGACAATAATGTGAAAGTCAGATACACCAATATTTTATGTATTACACTTCAAACTACTCAATTTGTTTCAAACAGCTGAAACTATATTAGTTTAAAATCACATTTACTAATAATATATGAATATCATTAATCCTTTTCATAAGAAACTTAAAAAAAAATACATTTAATATAATAGCATTCAAACAATCTACAATAGAGTAAGAATCGCATACAAGTATTACACTACATTGTTTCACAATATTAAATTTTTCATCAAAATGTGTTTTCTGGATATTCTTTCGGAATATCCAGAAAACACATTTTGGATATTCTTTCACATTTTGGATATTTCTGGATATTCTTTCGGAATATTCATGGACCATCAGCACTATCATAATCAAGTTTATCCACAGCTGAAAGTCCCTCAACATCAACTTCTTGTTCTGTTGCATTTAGCATATTTAGAGTTATATCTGCTGATTTCGCAGAAGCTTGAGATAAGACAGCATTAGCATTTCTAGTTTTATCTTGAGAAATTGAAGTCTTAGGAGTAGAAATTATTTGCTGCTTCCTCAAAGGTAAACCCGCTTCTTCATATGCATGTCTTTTCATGCTGTTTCTGATTTGCAGAAGAGTTCTGTCTTTTATTCTTTGACATATTTTATCAATATCTTCACCGAATTTCTTAACGGCAGCACGTAACATTTGTACTTCATTTTCTGTTGCTTTCTCTCGATATGGAGAATCAAATTCGGGATTTAACAACATTTCCAACTCACCAAGCCGTGTAAATGCTGTACCGACGTCTGTGAAAATTTCTGCTACGATATGAGAAGTCTGTCTTACATTTTGACTCATCTTTCACAAGACACAACCACTAAGCCAAGAAATTCTAAAATTCAAACAAGGAGATAACCAACAGATAAACCAGTTTTGTTTATGCATCGACAAGTTGCCACTCTTTTAATGGCATATATTTTCACTATCATCTATTTTATGTATTTCAAATAGTGAGGTGGGTTATAAAATTTGCTACCCAAATGACCAAATGATTTGTAAAATAAAGAAAATGCATGAAGAGCATAGTAAAATAAGCTATAATTTGTTCAACTTTATTATAGTTTTAAACTGAAGTTTAATTATTTGTCTTTAACCATAACTCTTACTTAAAAATGCAAACATCCCATCGGTGCAGAAAGACTTAGCGGGTGCAAAACAAGACCTGTTCATTTTGTCTGTCTAGAAAGACTCGACAGGTGCAAAACAAGATACTCTGTTCAGAAATGTTTTATTAAAGAACCTTGGTCCAGTCTGTCTAATTACGCATTTTACGACGATGTTGTCCTGTCTAAGGATTAACAGATTATGTCATCTGCGGTAAATATTTTGTTACACTATAAGTTGAGACTGATATGTTTTGTAGTTTAAAACTAATAAATCCTACTTGAAATTTTTCTTTAAATTTAGATGTGTGGATTTTAAACAATATTCATTTGTGTATGAATGTGTTTATATATGTATATACTTATCAATAAATTATATAGTCTTTACATATGTTTAATTCATCCTGAAATCAATAATGCCGATATGCATATAGCCAGTAAAATTTCATATTTAAAGTTTGGGTTTAATCCTAGTATCCGGTGCACACGAGATTTGGCTACTTTTGGCGACTTTATGATGAGCAGTAAACACGCGACATGTACGATGAGTAGTAAACAGGTCATTCAAAGAATATATATGGTTATACATAGTATAAACTCTATAGTGTATAGTATATATATATAGACGTTCTTTGGATCATTTTTGGTGTTGGCGATAATTTTCAAAATCGTGCCAAGGCTGCACCGTATACTAGGATTTTACCAAAGTTTGAGTACAGTTTTAAATAGAGAAGTCGGGGAGTTTGATTATTACAAGCTACCGTGTAAAACTGAATGAGGAAGCACTTCCGCAAAGGATCCGTTAAATGTAAACATCGCCAAAATGGCAATAAATGTTCAAAGCTGGTAACCCGGTGAATTGGCAACCTGGTTCGCTTTTAGAAAGAGAATATTTGCCGTGTGTTCGGGGCTTCGTTTTGCGGCTGGCTAGCGGTGCGTGAGTACCGGGTTAGGTGGTGAAAATCCCATGGAGGTAGAAAATTAGATGGAGTGGCCCTAAACCGGTTTCCTCATACCCTGCTTTGAAGCACTGGCGATCCCTTCTTTGGTGACCAAAACATTGGGTAATTTACCATTGAGTTCAATGGTTTATGACACAATCGGATGTAAATATTTTGTAATTACGTCGTAAATGTGCATATAAATGTATATATTTTCTTTTTCTACAATACTTCAGAGTCCTAAGTATATGAAAAGAATACATTTTAAAACAGTATTTCATTCTGAACGGAATCAAATGCTATACTTTTCACAGAACAGTTTGCTCAGAATGGTTTAATTTGAAATATTTTCACAAGTTTTCGTTAATTACATTAGAAAAAAAAAAGGTAAGGTAATTTGATTGATTCCATTAAGGATTACAAAAATTAAGATCAAAGTTTATTGTATTATTAAAATTTTGCATTATTTCTTTTCTATTGATAGAGCTTCTTCCTAAAATACTTTCTCAAATATGACATGATTTTTTTAGCTTCTAAGGCATCTTTTAAATCGAAAACTATAAGTCAGTTTATAATTAATGCTCCATTCGATCCATTTCAAATTAGAGCACTTTTTAATTTAATAGCGAAATACTTTAAATAGTACTTAACTTTCTCTGAATATTTCTGAAAGGGAATAAAGTAAGGATTACTTTTTAAATACTATTTAAAACTTGTAACTGACTTATTATAAGATGTAAGGGGAATAATTCTTTTAATTATTAGATTTTTTTACCCTTAATTTCAACAATACATATTCCAAAACTCTTCTTTATTACTCTCTTAAGTACGTATCTCCTAGAAATTGCATTGCAATACCTTTTAAAAGATTGCCTTCCAGTATGAACAATTCTTGCTTAAATAGTTTTATAACGTATTTGTCAACAGGATGTCAATTTATGTTTACAATTCAATGTTAAGGATATTATATGTTTAGATAATATTTATAATCATTATAAATTTAGATACATTTAATAATTAGATTTCTTCACAGTAACGTTCACAGTTATTTATGAATAAATAAACCCTTCATTTCAAATACATTTATAAAAAATTTAATAAATATTTACGTATTTTGTTAAAGGCACATATATGCATAAATACCCATACATATTTCATATTTTTCATTTCCGGCATGCGGAAATCTTTAATTTCTATGCATTCACTAATTTTTCGAGTAAAGTAATTTACACTAATTTTAAAAAGTACATGTTACAATAATATGTGGATGTGAAAAAAATTATTTTATTTAAAACATTTTGGCGTCTGGAACATAAAATAAAAATAGCGAATACTGTATTAAGGGTATAGAAAAATGTATACAATTTTAAATTTACGGTGAGGTATTTTTCATTCTTTAAGCATAACCTTTTTGCTAAAATCTATATTTTTATAGTTCAACAGCTTAGAATTTTATGAAACAAATTCATAATCAAAATCACTATTGTTAGTTATCGAAAAATAACCAAGATGTGATTTTTGCGTAAATGTCGCTAAACTATACAAATTGCTTTTATCCGTCATACTAGGAATGTTTCTTTTATGCGGAAGTGTCCCGTTTTTCGATTTGTATGGAGCTGCCGTGTGTCGAAATAGAAATGTAGCAAGTCTATTTCGATAGAGCTTCAGAGCGCTGTCAAGCGAGCTTTTTGAATGTAAACAAAAAACACCCCATCTGGTGACCGAAGCTTCGGAGCAGTGCTTCACTTCTAATGCCGATTTGGCCACTCCTTCCTTTCCTACCTCCATACATAATCCATGGAGGTAGGAAAGGGAGGAGGGGCCAACCTGCGCTAAAAGTGAAGCACTGCTTTGAAACTTGGGTCACCAGATGGGGTGTTCTTTGTTTACATTCAGAAGCTCGCTTGACAGTGTTCTGATAGTATTTCGACACACCACAGTTCCATACAAATCGAAAAAGGGACACTTTCTCATGAAAGAAACATTCATAGTTGTATAGTTTAGTGACATTTATGCAAAAATCACATCTTGGTTATTTTTCGATAACTAGCAACAGCGATTTTGATTATGAATTTGTTTTATAACAAATAACTTTTTTATAACTTTCGGGTGTATGCTAAATTATTGTAAATTACTTTACTCGATGAAAATTAGTGAATGCGCAGAAATAAAGATTCAATAATGCTGAAAATGAAAAATATGAATTATGTATGGGTTTATGCATATGCTTGCAAAAAGCATGTGTCTGCCGTTAACAGAATACGTAAATATTTATTAAATTATTTATAAATGTATTTGAAATGAAGAATTTATTCACTTATAAACAACTGTGAAAGTACTGTGAAGAAATCTAATTATTAAATGTATCTAATTTATAATGATTATAAATGTTATCTAAATATATAATAACCTTAATATTGAATTGCAAACAAATTGAAATCCTGTTGACAAATACGTTATAAACTATTTAAGCAAGATTGTTCGTATTGGAAAGCATCTGTTAAAAGGTATTGTAAGCAAATGCTATGAGATGCGCACTTAAACGTAATAAAGAGTTTTGGAATATGTATTGTTGAAATGAAGGGTAAAAAAAATCTGATATATAATTAAAAGAATTATTCCTCTTACATTTATAATAACTCAGTTACAAGTTTTAAATAATACTTAAAAAAAAAAAAAACTTATTTTATTCGCTTTCAGAAATGTTCAGAGAAAGTCAGTACTATTTAAGTATTTCGCTAATTCCTAATAATTCTCTAATTAAAATGAACCGAATAGAGCATTAATTATAAATTGACTTACATTTTTTTCGATTTAAAAGATGCCTCAGAAGCCAAAAAATCATGTCATATTTAAGAAATTTTTAGGAGAAGCTCTATAAATAGAAAAGAAATAATGCAAATTTTAATATTAATAATACAATAAACTTTGATCTTAATTTTTGTACCTTAACCGATTAAAATCGAATTACCTTAATTTTTTTTCTAATGTAATTAATGAAAACTTGTGAAAATATTTCATTCAAATTAAACCATTCTGAAAAAACTGTCCTGTGAAAAGTATAGCATTTAATTCCGTTCAGAAGAATGTTGTTTAAAAATATGTTATTTTCACATACTTAGACTCTGAAGTGTTGTAGAAAAGAAAATATATACATTTATATGTATATTTACAATGTATTACAAATATTTACATCGGACATCCAATCCCATTGAACTCAATGGTAAATGACCCAATGTTTTGGTCACCAGTAGGGATCGCATTCTTCAGGCAGGGTACGGGAGAAACTTGTTTAGGGCGACTCCATCTTACTTCCTACCTCCATGTGAAAATCGCCGGAGGTGGGGGGGGGGTGAATATAATACGGCTTTTTAGAATACTATGGCTGTGTTCTTACGTAATTTTTAAAAGACTTTAAACACGCAGAACCACAGGGCTCCTAAAATATTATGATTAACGTGGGTTAAGTTTAAATTAAGTTTTTATTTTTATTACTGTTATTTTTACCTAAAATAATAAGAATTAAATCAGTTTTCATGCTTAAAAATTTGATATATTTTTAATGCATTTTTAAAAATTACTTTTCAGAGGATGCTAGGTGTTTATATACAATAGATGATTAGAATGAAAAAAAAAAAATATTGGTTCTCTGAGATGACAAAATACTTTTATGTATTCCCAGGGTCATCAAAGTTAGTAAACCACTGCTTTGAGTAATTAATCAAAGTTTGAATGAATCTTGAAAGATAACAAGATGTATAATGTTTATTCTAGTTTTATTTACAATGCTACTTTAAAGGATTTGAATATTATTGAAGATACTTGGCATTGTCAAATTTATTATGAAAAAGACAGTTGTTTCAAAATAAAATATTTTAAGCTATCAGCAAGTAAATTCAAAAAACAACTTTGAAAAATTGCTTGTGTAAAATGAATGTTTTAAATGTATTATTTAGTAATGAATCCATTAATCTATTAAATGTACAGTAGCACTAATTATTAAACATAATTTTGAGAATATCGACAAGCAAAGCACGTAATGAAAAAGACACTTTTTACTAAAAATATTAGTATTCTGTATGAATGACAGAGAATATATGTAATGAATACCATGGCTAAATACCTATATAAAGAAAAGAAACAAAAAACAAAAAAAAAGTAGTATTCTCTACCTCGACACTTGCAAAAGTAATCCTGCTATGCAACACATAGTTAATTTCTGATTACATGATATTGCAAGCATTTTCTTCAGATTTTTCCTACAACTGATATT